TCGAGTCAATGTACGCGCTGGTATTTAACTAGAATACGTGTTCTGGAGTTACTGTTTTAGTGATGTTTTAAATGGAAATGATTTTTTTTTTCCTCTGCTGCGTAAGTCTGTGCCGTTGTACAGGATGTCAGTGTACTTAAGGTTCCACTACTACTACCAGTCCTTTATGGATAACAGAGTAACTTCATCTAGTGCTATTGTATCCAGTTCTGTGTCATGACAAATTATTTGTGTTTATATAACAGAACCTATACTTCAAAGGCTCCGATGAGTAAGGAGCGTAAGATAATTATCAACATAATTGAAGCATCATACCCTTTGCATTTTTCTTAGCTTCTCTAGCCATCTCTACCTGTTTAGGACCAAGACTGAATGAGGCAAGGACCGTTAGATCAGGATGATTGGACTGAGAACTCATGGATCATGTTAATTGCACAGGGTTTTTTATATTGTTTCAGTGCTGGGTTTTTTATGATAATTTATCTAATCTTTCTGAATCTGCAAGTGTTACAAAACTGTTACCCAGGTCATTGCTTAAAGACTGAATCACTTAAGTAGGAAATACCCAGAAGACTTCTGAAAGGGCTAGCACTCAAAAATGAAAGACTTCCAAGATTCAGAATACCATTGTGTCGTTGAATGCATTTGTGGTCTGTTGGGGGTGTATCGCAAATATTGTACGATATGCTGATTGTATTTCACATTGCTCATGAAAGTAGAGATGCATAGAAAATAATATGTCTTGTATTGCTTCATAATACTTAAGAATATGGAAGACACTTTTAAATGACTGTGAGATCTTGCAACTTTCTCATGTAGAATCAAAACCATTTCATATTTGTGTTATGAGTAAACCTGTAGAACAAAGCATGGAGGACTAACATACAGAAAGGATAGATTTTGTGTTTAATCTAATTTTCTAATTTAAGATATTCAAAGTCATTTAAACTATACTTTAAAATAGACTAAGCTGTATGTCAGCAGTGTTCTGCAGTAAATTACAGTGAAGATCTAGTATTTTTAAGCAAAAAGGCCTTGAGCTGTACACTCTATTTGAGAATGTGCTTGTGTGTAACCACAGTATTGCTTTTCAGAGCCTTTATGTACATTGAGGTTAGTGGCTAAATGTGGAATCTTGTCTATGCATGTATCTTTCAAGACAGAGGCTCTGTACTTGTTAATGTTTTTATAGTATGCCTTTTTGATAATCACAAAATGTGGGGAAGAAATCTGGTAATTAGACTAAGCTTTTAATATTTTTGAAGTTTGGGGTTTTTTTCAGAGTAAAGGACAGGACAAACTTCCATATTCCAGCAGTGCAGTCCAGAGCAGGGGGAGTAGCAAGTTAGAATTCTTAAAAAAAAAAAAAAGCGCCATAATAATTTTTGTGTAAATTTACCTCCTTTTGGTAGGCTGTATATCTAAGAAAAGATGGCAGATCCTTGGCAAGAATGTATGGATTATGCAGTTGCTTTAGCAAGGAAAGCTGGGGAGGTAAGTATAAACTATTTATAAATAATAAAATTATTTATTGAGTCTAGTATGTATATAGCTTTCGAAGGAGTTTGATGGATATTTTTCTGAGAAGTATTTTGTCAAAAACATTAATTAGCAGAATAGTTCATTGATGTTCAAGTTCAAGGTTGGAGTATCTTTCATGTTTACAACTTGGTTAATTTAAGAAAACACTTTTGCACTTTTCTTTGCACAAGAGTCCAATTAAAGACTAAGGAGTATCTTTTGTTCCTTAAATTTGATTTTTAAAAAGTTGGAAAATTCTCAGTTGTGGTAAACAAACAGCATCTCTGCTTTTCCCCTTAAACTGCACCTGTCTACCTTATTATTTTACCACCTGAAAGCTGTTGACAGTCTTTCTTGTGAACACCTCAATCAACTTTATACAGTGACTTGTTGTTGGCACAAGATTAAGTCCTTTTCATGAAGACTGCTTTACTTCTGTAAATAAGAAGCATCCCTTGCGGTGGTGGTATTTTGCCCGTTCGTGATCTAAGATGGCTTAGAACATGAAAGAGTTTGTACATCTTGGCAGAGCCTCAGCATAAGAGTGGTTACCAAATGTTCAGTTCTTGGTAGTTCTGCTCAGTTTGAATAGTTTTTTTTTTTAGGTAGTTTGCTCATTTGAATGCTATTGCAGCCAGACAAGATGGCACATGTACTAATTCTGTCCCCTGGAGTGGCAGAATCTTCAGAACATTGTACTTGCAGTGACCTCATCAAAGTCTTTCCTCACAAAATCTTTCTCAGTTACAGTAAAATAATTTTGTGGTCTGTGAGGCATTTGTGGATTCTTTCATAAGCTGATTCTGATAGTTTTGAGATCATAAATGCAGTGTCTGGCTAAAAACAGCTGACTTAAGATCAGTCTAAGTGTTTCATTCAACTCTGGTATTTAAATTTATAAATCTAAAACTTGTCCTAACAAAATAGGCTCAGTTTCATGTACCAGTGCATCTTCTTGTAGTACGTAGATTTAAGGTCATGCAAGACTTTGTGTTGAGTAGGGGCTGGAGTTAGATGCAAGAGTAAGCCCCAGCTTCTGCAGTTAAATCCAGGTTTTGTCAGTGCTTGTGTTTTGTACGTGCAGTATAGAAAATTACAGTAAAAATGATGCTCAAATTTTTCAGAAAACTCGTATTTCCCATATGGTTAATGAAGAAAGATTTTTTTTTTCCTTTTGTTAACAGATAATCCGTGGAGCACTCAAAGAAGAAATATCTGTTATGACTAAAAGTTCACCAGTAGATCTAGTGACAGAAACTGATCAAAAAGTAGAAAACTTCATTATTTCTTTGATAAAAGAAAAGTATCCTTCTCACAGGTACGGCTTCTTACCAAATACACTGTTGATAGAGGGAGGGGAGAGGTGACTGGAAGAAGAAAATGGGAAGTTCATGATTTTGCTTGGTAAAATTTCATTACGATTGGCATGCTGGAAAGTTAGGGAATTCTCCCTTGCCCTCGCTATATTAAGTATTTTAGAGTAGTAACAGGTTGAAGTTGTGCCCAGGGCTGTAGTAACATAACAAGGTGTCTATTGACATGAGTTTAGCCTTGCTCAAGACTTACACTGAAAGTCACTTTCAGTAAAGCCAGCTGTAAATAACTTCTTGGTTATTTGTGTTGGAGAATCAAAGGTGGCCCCAATATATCCAGAACCCAAATTTCTTTTCTGCTGTTGAAACTAGCATGCCTTTGCTGTCTACTGGATGGATCCCATGGTACTGTGTGTGCCTTTGGTGTAAACCTCATATAGTTTAAGAACATCAAACATCCTTAGAACAACACAGGGTCTTCTGATTCTGCATAACTGAAAGTCTGTCATGCAAAATACTGATTTTTTTTTTTTTATTGCTCTTCCTTCCCCCCCGCCTCTCCTCCTTCCCGAAATAAATGTATTCTTGAAGGGTGAATTGTATGTATTTTACTTACTTTTACTTACATGGGACTTTCTTTCCCATTTTGACGTAATGGCTCAAGTTTAATGAAGTTTCCTTAGAGTGGGTTTCCTAATGTTTTCTTGCATTTTCTTGGAGATTTTCTTCTTGTAGCTGTATATGTGAAACATAATAAATAGGCATAGAATTGGAACAACTGAGGTGATACAAAATGTCAGTAACCTAACCAAAGTAGTGTAAGCATACAGACTTGTGGAATGATCTTAAAATAACAGTTTCTGTGGCATTGATAAACATTTTAGAATATTTTTAGCTTCTTTTTATATTAGATAATTGATATCACATTAGACATGTTGAATTTCTTTATCTGATGAATTGCTTATCCGCCTAAATAACTATTCAGTTTCTCTGTCCTCTTTGTGAAGTTCAGCTGCTTTTTGGAAACACATTGTTTCTTTCTGAGCAATCATCTTCATTTCCATAGTTAATCATAAAACACCTAATCAATATTGAGGGGACCTTATTTGTTTACACTCAGCAGTTCTCCTCATTTTACATGTTTTTGGAGGAGAGCATGTGTTTGATGCATACTTTTCCTAAGTTGAGTAATATATGATAAATTTAACAACATGCAAAAGGCATAGAAGAGAATTTCACCCAATAATTTTGGGTGGAATAATCGATAATTTGATTGATTATTCATCCCAATAATTTTGCAGTTCAAAATAACTACTTTCATGAGCGGCAAAAATTGTGAAATTTGGGTTCCAGTGGCACTGTGCCTTGTGTATCCCTGGGGTTTGGTATTACAGTTGAGCATGCACTCTACTATCTTCTTCAGGAGGAGCTCAGGTTTGGATTTTATCCCTTTACTATGTTACCATTTTGTAATACTTGTAACACTAAACAGTTTTGAGACCAACAACTGTCATACTTGGGTTGAAATCAGACTACAAATTTAACAGTTGCTGCAGTAGTCTAACCAGATGCATATGACCATGAAGGCTTTCTTCAGTTAAAACAGAAGCTAAAAAGTAGTGGTTTATACCACAAATAAACTGAAAGGTATAAATAGCTACAAGTATTCTGACCAAAATTTGATCATGCTGTTATTGGCAAAAATTACGAAAATGTCAATGTTCTGAATGCTAAATTCCAGTAACGGATATTAAAATGTGAAGTTCTTTTCCGCACATATTGTGCCTACCTCTAGCATCATAAATATTGATGCAAGCTTTGTCAGATGTGGTTGGTGCTTTCCAGATAAATTCTGTATTTCTCTGCTTTTTACATATGATCACTGGTGGTACAAAAACCTGCATCTCACTTTAAGAATTTTAATTTCAAGGACAGTGTTGTAATTCAGACACTTTAAACAATTTCTTTGTATCTTTTAAATGTGTTTGCTATTCTAGCTTCATCGGAGAAGAATCTGTTGCAGCTGGAGTGGGCAGCATTTTGACAGATAACCCCACATGGATTATAGACCCTATTGATGGAACTACCAACTTCGTACACAGGTCCACCTTTCATTTTTTTGCTAGCAACTTCAACTGATTACCCTTTTTCTTTCTCCTGTTCCATGAAAGCAAGGTTTTTTCACTTTCAAATTGCTTTAAAAGAGATAGTATGAACTTGTTAATAGTTACGAATTGCTGTTTGCATTTATTGAGAGCCACTGGGCAGTTTTTGTAATCATCTTAGTATTTCTGTAAGTATTATAATGGTCTCACTCTGTAACCAACAGCAGTTGTTCCATGAGAGGCCTGTACCATATAGCAGGGGTCAGCGGCCTTTGGCACAAGTGCCAAAGATAGGTGGGCGGATTTTAACAGTAAGCAACAGGACTCAGAATTAGGAGTTGCAGCATCTTCAGAGAGGCATTAGCAGCTCCAGGTGCCCATTTCCAAGAAATTTCAAATTCATAGAGATCTAGGAGCTGCTACCATGAAAGAAAGCACAGAATATCACCAGTAATTTTCTAGTGGTATTTTGCACCAGGGTGAGGAGGAGACTTTCAGTGTAATGCTGACTGCCTGTTCCTTCTGTCTTTGAAACATGATGGATTTTGGCCCTGATGAGCTTTTCTGAGCATACTTGGTTCCAGTTTTGAAATGGCTGTCGTTATGTGTACCACAGCGTTAAAAAGGTCTGCTGAATCCTAATAAATAACATATTCAAAAAGCTGTAAGAAAAGAACCCATTTTGCTGGATTTACAGACTTAAAAGTCTGTATTTTTTGCAGCTAGTAATTAAAGCAAATGCTTTGGAACAGAAAATTTTGAAGAGTAAAAAATAATAATAAAAAATAAATGGTTGATCGTTAAAAACTTAGATCGAGATGCAGCCCACTATTTCCTATACGTCCCTACTGCTGTCAGTCTTCAAGAAAGACTCTGTCTGTCTGTCTTGTTGCTTGGGAGGACAGGTGAATTGGTTCTTTTGGTGAGGTCATTTTGGCCAGCTTGTTCCTTCTGAGAAAAGTTGGTAGCAAAGAGGCTTGCTTATATAATTTGGCTATGAAATGACAGTCCCTAAGCTAGTAACAGCTGTAACAGGGATGACAGTCCCTAAGTTGTAACAGACTTAGTTTCAGTGGGTGGAAAAGTTTGTATTTTAAATGGTAAACAGTGTTGTCGGGTCTTTTCATAGTAAATTTTACAACTTCGGAAAACCAGTATTTCCTATATAGTCCAAGTTTTTTTTGAAATATGCATTACATTTAATTGAACATTGTTTTTATTAAAAGTAAGCATGGTAGTGAAAGAAGCATAGTATCTAACTATAAACTAGTGAAATGTTTTGTTTTGTAGGTTTCCATTTGTGGCAGTTTCAATTGGCTTTGTTGTAAACAAAAAGGTATACTTTTTATTACTTAATATCTAATCAATCAGAACTAAATTAATTCCTCGTTGCTAGTTATAACTAAGATCTGTATTTTCACAGCAAATGGAAAAAAAAAAAAACAAACCATCAAGGTATCTTTATTTTTTCTTGCAGGTAGAGTTTGGAATTGTGTATAGCTGTATAGAAGACAAGATGTATACTGCCAGGAGAGGAAAAGGTGCATTTTGCAATGGTCAGAAACTTCAAGTATCAGGCCAAGAAGGTAATCTGAATGGAGCAGCTTATTTCTAGTAATTACATTCATTTTGCAGATGAGGCATCAACAATTTTAGACCTGGATGTGTTCCTGTTTTGCTCATAGTTTTGTTTTGCAAAGAGTTGGGGGTTTTTTTTGGCCATGGGTTGCTCAGTTTTGAGGAACAGCTTTTATGTTCTCTTTGATGCATATAACATACTTGTGATCTTTGCAAAATCAGGACTCAGCCATCGAAGATTTTATTCCCTGTTTGTGGTTGTGGTTTTTTGTATGTCTGTAATCCGCCTGTGATTGTTCTTCAGAGTCTGTAACAAATTACCAAACAATTCAACTTCTTCCAAGTATGAACTAGTGGTTTAAATCAGTATCACTCTTGTATGTTTACTACCGTATGTAAAGTAAAATCTGCACTTAAAGTGAGACCTTTAAATATCTGAAGACTGTTCTAATTTTTATAGCAATAGAATTTTATTTAGTAATAACATTGATTAATGTATATGCACAGTTGAATCGGATCATGCTTTGTTCACTGCATTTTATTTTCTCCTGCTGTTTCCATGTAAGAACAGATTTTTATACATTCAATATATATAATATTAAAATACCTTATTTATACTCATTTTTGTAAGAAAACAATGAAGTAAACTCTGTTGGAAAAGTGAGGGTTTGTTTCTTTTCCAGATATTACAAAATCCCTTTTAGTAACAGAATTGGGATCAAATCGTGATCCAGAGACTATAAAAATAATTCTTTCTAACATGGAAAGACTTCTCAGTATTCCTATTCATGGGTAAGATACTTCCTAATTTTTATATGTACTGATAGTATTAATATTGTAAATATGTAAATATGATCTTTTTAGGAAGGATTGGTTGCATTACATTTGACACCATAAATGTGAAATATGATTTAAATGTTTTTGTCTAGTTGCTTCTGCAGAGAAACTAAGTGTGTTTAACTTTTTCAAGCTGGGACATATATAAGAGAACCCTAACAATCAGTATTGAAAAGCGAAGCATGTTTGGTTTTGTAGGACTAAAAAGTATTGTGTTTACTAGTGAAAATTGTTGGGGTTTTTTTATATATATCAGAAGACAAAAGCAGATCTCCCTTTCCTCTTTCAACACTGTACAATTTTTTTGAATTTGTCCAAGTAGTTGAAATTGTCCATGAACTGCACTTATTTTGGTTACATTCCCTGCTTCTTCTCCTCCAGATAAGCCAAAGCCTACATTTCTGTAAATGTTTCAAGGTGGTTTCAGTAGATAGATTTTTTTTGTTCCTCAACCCTACTCATGTTTCTGACCTAAAAGGGGCCATAGTTTTATGTTGAGATTGTCAGGATTCTTGTTTTGACATTTAACATGTAGATTTTTTTCTACTTTCAAAAAGCCTTCTGATGTTATTAAAAGAATATATGCTGAAGAGTAAGTAGGAAATACATTTTAGGTATGTTGTCAGTTCAACTTTGGTATTTGTAAATGATAAATTGAGATTGGAGTTGATTTAAGTTGCTTCTTGCTGTAACTTAGCTGCTATCAGTTACAATTTAACGTACATTTTACTGATAATTGAAATAACTGCAGTTATTTGTGCAAGTCGCACTAAGTGCGTCAACATTTCCAAAAGAAACTGGAATTTGTAACAGAAGTTACAACACAAATTTTGATGAAGTTATCCAGACCAAATTTGTGCTGTGTAATTTATTTTTTGTGATTACTGCTTTTAGTGTTTTTTTGCAAGTCAGAGATGCTTACTGAATATCACCAGAGAAACTGAAGTAACTTCTTTCAACACTGAGAACAGTACACTCTACTTGAATTCTTGTATTCAAGAAGCAAAGTAGAATATCTGTTATTGTTTCATAGGTAGTTATCTTTTATATAATATGTTTTAAGTTAAGAAGTTGTTTAAGATGTGTTTTCGCTCTAAAACAAAATTGTGTAACAGAATTCATAAATGTAATTTCTGGAAGTTTACTGTATTTGGAGAGCTTTTCAAGCTACTTAAGCGAAAATTCATTCCCAATTTTTTGTTTCACTGCAGCATTCCATCACGTTTTCTCTAGCTCAGTTCACTTTGCATATGAGGCTTCTGTGTTCTCTGCGCAATGTACACAGATGTGATTTCCTTACAAACTGTTCTCAATTAAAAAAACAACTATGTCTCTTTTAGGATTAGAGCCGTTGGTACAGCAGCTGTGAACATGTGCCTGGTAGCAACGGGTGGAGCTGATGCCTATTACGAAATGGGGATTCACTGCTGGGATATGGCAGGGGCTGGAATCATCATTACTGAAGCAGGCGGAGTACTGCTAGATGTATCAGGTAAATACAGGGGCATGCATGATACTCTTTTGTCCTTTTAAATAGCTAACTGGGAGCAAAACATAGCTGAAATGAGAAGGCAAAGATGTTTTTCAGTCCTCTTTCCATATTACCACTACTGAATAAGAGTTCCATCCAGTTAATAGACAAAGAGAGAGTCAACTGTATGTTCTTAATTACAAAAGAACCTTTGCTCCCTTGGCTAAGCACCTGGAAGAATGAAAAAAGACAGTAAACATACACTGAAGAGAATTTAAATGTAGCTCATACGAGATACCCCTTGTGTTAAATGCATTTTTATCCAGGGGCAAAACTTGTTCCTAAACAGTAATGTATCATTTATACTTGACTTTTTTGTGCTCATTTTCATACCAACTTTTAATTTTCTCCAGATATAAGCTAATTACTTTGCTTGCTTTGATTTCTAGGTGGACCATTTGATTTGATGTCTCGAAGAATAATCGCAGCAAGTAGTCGAGCTATAGGAGAGAGAATAGCCAAAGCACTTCAAATAATTCCTCTGAAAAGGGATGATGCAACTAACTGAATACCAAAACTACACCTTAAATGTAATTATATAATGTCATGTCATACTCCCATGTGGTGGTTGTTCTGTACCTTGAACCTGATAAAAAGATAGACAAATTGATGGTAGTCTTTTAATACTGATGTGACAGTTAAGTTGTGTTTTGAGATTGGACCAACATTCTAAGCAAGCTTTTACTGTTAAGTATTTTATTTAACATCACGATTACATAAAGTTCTATGAAAAGAAGCAAATACAGATAGCTAATATTTTCAAGTTTTACACTATACTGGAAGGCATAGCAAGAGACTCTTTGATGTATAGATAAACAAAAATATCTAATTCCATAAGTGACAAAACAAAATTCACTGTCTTAATACCACATCATCACATCTGATCCTGAACCCAGAAAGATGAAGGCATTACTGTTTATCCGATCTTTTTCTATCTCATCTGTTGTTTTCTTCAGTGTCGTCAGTGTATCCATTTCCTTACCTTGTTACAGTTTTTTGCAGAGGTAGTTCACACATTTCCGAACGTTTTTTAGTTGCTTGTAGTTTTGGCTCCAATTTAAAGCCTTTATTACTAAGCTGTCATTGTTCTTGTAGTCATTGTTCTACCTTTCTTACGGTAGAGAAACACAATCTCTTCTTTAGACTCTTTTGCAGCCAGTATGCTTGCAAATTCATTACAGTTGCAAAAATAATAGTTACTGTGCCAGAAAATACGTGTATCTCCCAGATCTGAGCACACCTTCCATCACCAAATGGACATGCTCTAAATTAAGATGAAGTATGATTTGCATTTGACTATTGGAATCAGCTGGTAGTATGTCCTCTATCTTATTCTTGGCAGTTATAATTCCTGTTAATTTTGCTTGCGTTTCTCCATGGATGAGTGTGTTTTAAAGTCTAAGGAAGCATTGAAATCCGTGAGAGTTTCAGTAACTCAGCTGGCAAAAAAATAGGCCCACAGACCAGTTTTTTTTACATAATTTTCTGTAAGTTATGAAAGTAGTGACCAACCAGGATCAGGTTTCCATTGTGTTACAGTGTACAGGCACAAAAGATGATACATATCTAAACCTAAAGGATTTATAAATCTAAGAAATACTAGTAATTTTATTCTTGGTGTCAGTAGTCCTAAACTTTGAAAACTATACTGGTTCTTTGAATTTTTGTATTTAAGATTGTTAAAAGTATCAGTGTACTGTTCAAATAATTAATGCACTTTAAAAAAAAGATTTAACTTAGATCAAATTTTAGACTGATTTTTCCATGTCTACAGTTTCCTAAAGAAAGTTGTCTCATTGGTGATCCAGTCAAGATACAGCAATGCTTTGGAAAACCTGACTTTTTGTACTGCTGTCCCACTATTTTTTTTTTTTTTTGGAAAATGGTGTTCTCTGTCTTGAAGTTTCAACAGGTCTTTTATTATAAATTTCAGTCTTTTATATTAGTTGATTTTTGCAGATTTTGCAGAAATACTTAATTTGAAGTATCTAATGCTAGATGATTAACGTTAATGAGATCAACCTATTTTTAAGTCTCATCAAAAAGCCAGTTGTACAGTAATTTTACTTGTTAAATTCCCATTGACAAGAATAGAAACTTTTTGAGCATTTCACTGTATTTCATTGCTGTAAATGATGTGGGTTCATAATTATTTCTTGAGAAGTATGTCTGCTGTACCATTTCTGTAGTTTTTGTGTAACAAATTCTGCATATTTTTTTTTAAACTGACTTATTTGTGAAATGGAGATATGTCTAAAAAATTCTTGAGAAGTATTTTTTTGTGAGAGAACACATTCGAAATAAATAAGCCTTAGCAGCAGTGACTGCAGATGTGCTTCCTTTCTTAACATTCATCAGAGTACAATGCTGGGTCTTAGCAAGCTGGATTTGTGGGCATCAAACTTAATCTGAGTTGCAAACTCTCTCCTCTTGGCCTCTGATGTACATAGGTCATAACCTGTTGTGCCTTTAGATAAGTGGGATTATGTATACACCTGCAGTAGGTTTTCAGAGTGAATATTCCAACACCTTCCAATGAGATCACTGGTGCATTAACCATCTCCAACCTCAGAGCTCAAACTTCACAGATTATCTTGCCTGTGAATTGTTGAAGCATGTAGCTTTCTCACCATTATCTTTCCTAATAATTCTCTTTGAGGAAAAATTTATGTTCATTTCCCATTGGCCTTCTCACTCTGTTTGCGTTGGAGACAGCCTAATTTTTTTTACTCTAAATGGCAGGTTTTGTCAGTTGTCTGCTTTCTTTTTAATTTCAGTCTTCCTTTCAGGGGGATCAGAAATCCCTGTTGTTTGCTACTTTGCTAAGCATTATCTTCCCAGATAACTCTTCATCTAAGATGCAGCCTCTTCATTCATCATGTGAAAGGACACCAAAATGTCATTATTAAGTTTAAAGGCATTTTCTTTCTGGTTCTGTGCTAGCCTGTAATTTTGGCAAATTTTTGTAGTAAGTGGTTTTTGTAGTAAAACTGAGAAGTCATGATTGCTGTGTAATCAAAATGCTTTTGAGAGATTATACAGGTGGGGTAGTCTCTGAATGTTCAAGACAATAAAATGCCTGGTTTTGTTGTGGTGAAAGATGGAGTGACAGAGATAATAATCTTACATTTTTTTTTTATAATTTAAGATGAAGTTATACATTTACAAGATAGCTTTGGCTGGGCAGTGAGACAATTGGAAAGGAAAACCAGTTACCACAGATTGAACAGGCAGACTATCAAATTAAGATAACGAATATTCTTCATGAAGATACCATGAGTCTGGTATACAGGAAGCTTTCTTACATAGCCTTTCAGTGACAATCTCCTGACTTCAGCTGACAAATTCTACTATGGTTTGAATCTCAACTCTGAATAACACTGAAAACTTGCAAGTGCAAGAAGGAGGACAGCAGGCAGACAGATTCAGCAACTGGAGCAAGTGAAAAAATTCCAAGAAATATTACTGGAAATTAAAGGACCATATGGGCAAATTTAACCAGTCCCTTCATCTTTACTTTGTGAATTTCAGTGGTTTCAACATTATCGCTATAGTTGCTCCAGGGCCTGCTGCTACTCTTAACAAAGGTCTTCAGAGTAGGGGTACTGATTTTTAGCCCAAGGTAAACAATTATACTTTAATAATACTACAAAATAGGTAACATGGCTTTTTAGCACTGATATGTCTGAAAAAGGGGAGGTAGCCTTAGTCTACTGCTCTGGCTATTATCCCTGTTCACTAGCCCTCTTCATTTATTGATTTGCTGATAGTTTGTGATTGTTTTCTGTGACAACCTGCAAAGCTTTGCTCCTTCTTCAAAGCAAGGTGTTCCAGTAGATTCAATCCTTCGGAGCTTTTCCCAGCATGAAATATTGCCAAAGACAAAGCCATAGACTTCAGGCTCTTGTCCAGCCCTGTTACCATGGAGGGGGCATCTGCTCCTTCTCTGGGCAACATGGGCCAGTGTTTCAGCACCCTCATTGTGAAAAGTTTATTCCTTCTATCTGGTCCAAATCTTCCCTCTTTTAGTTGAAAACCATTACCCCTTGTCCTATTGCTACAGACCCTGCTAAAAAGTCTGTCCCCATCTTTCTTATAGGCACCTTTTAAGTACTGGAAGGCTGCTATAAGGTCTCCCCGGAACCTTCTGTGCTCCAGGCTGAATAACCCCGACTGTCCTCACAGGAGAGGTGTTCCATCCCTCTGATCATTTTTGTGGCCCTCCTCTGGACATGCTCCATGGACCTGGTCCATGTCTTTCCTGTGCTGAGGGCTCCAGAGCTGGATGCAGGACTCCAGGTGGGGTTTCACCAGAGTGGAGTAGAGGGACAGAATCCCCTCCCTCGACCTGCTGGCCACGTTGCTTTGGATGCAGCCCAGGATGTGGTTGACCTTTTGGGCTGCGAGCTCACATTGCCAGCTCATGTCCAGCTTTTCATCCACCAGTATGCCCAAGTCCTTCTCAGCAGGGCTGGTCTCAATCCCTTCATCCCCCAGCCTGTACTGATAATGGGGGTTTCCCCAACCCAGCTGTGTGACCCTGCACTTGGCCTTGTTGAACATCCTGAGGTTCACATGGGCCCATTACTCATGCTTGTCCAGGTCCCTCTGGATGGCATCTCATCCCTCAGGTGTGTCAACTGCACCACTCAGCTTGGTGTCATCTGCAAACTTGCTGAGGGTGCACTCGATCCCACTGTCTATTGTCATTGATGAAGATATTAAAGAGTACTGGTCCCAATACAGACCCCTGAGGGACACCACTCATCATCATTCTCCATCTGGACACTGAGCCATTGACCACTACCCTCTGGCTGTGACCATACAACCAATTCATGCTGTTGAGCAGCCTTGCAGAAAATCCCTCCCCTTCCTGCCTCCCCCAATGAAATATGGACTATTCCTTATAATATTGGTGACCCAAAGCTGTGGTTTTAATTATGCATAGTCTAATGCCTAGGTGTGAACTGGACGTAGTGACTAGATACAAAACATCAACCTGTGATGTTAGTATGATTTAATTTTTTTTTTTTTTTAATTTAAAAGAAATAATTTCTTTCTTTTCCTGAGCTTCTTCCCATCCTCTCAAAGCCAGCAGCTAATTCAGTTCTATTCATTACCTGTGGGTGAAGTAATTGCTTCACAAGTCTGATTCTGTTGCTAAAGTGCTGACAGGCAACTTGCCAGCAGCACATTGTTTTTGGATTGACAGCAGTTGGCATGGCTTCCTTTGTTTGTACAAACTCCAGGCATCAGAAGGATATTGTCAGTGATGTGACACCTCAAGAGTCTCTGCCAGGCCCAGAGTCAGCCAGATCTCCTGGACAACATAATCCATTCAATCTCTGGATTACTGCTTGTCCTGCACCAAAAGTGACCATGAATGCAGCCTGTCACATCACTCTTTGGTTTGTACAATCTTCACACAAAGATCTGCAGCTTCTCAAAGATCAGCAGGAGCTTCTGAAACGTCCTCTGTGCCCTCTATCCACTGTCTGCTTGCTACAA